AGGAAGAAGATGACGCCAAATCCAGGTATATTCCTTCTCAGTCCATACAAGCCCGAAATTCTGTACAATGACGATGGAACGCAAGAAAATGCGCGACTTGTCAAAAAGGTCCTCAGCAATCCACCATTCACACCTCCTCAACGACTTTAACGCACAAAGCGCGCTCACACAGTGGATGCAGAAATCACTTGCTCTTAAGGTCGAGCGCAAAATGTTTAGAAAGCCAAATACTTGTTTAACGTGACGCATGTAACACCCATGACGACACGATTTCGCTATCACAAAAAGCGGCACGACGTTAAGCTATTTTGATGGGAGTCAAAATGGCGAAAGATAATTAAAAATACAAAGTTGGGAAAGTAAAGCTACCACGGCTGGCTGATGTGGAGTAAGTATCCTACTGCAAGGCACCTACAGGCACTTGACGCTTGTTCAAGCGCTTTTGAAATTGAAACTCGAATAAGCTAATCTGGATTGGGCAAAAGGAGGTCAGCTTTATTGCAGCATACATTACACGATTGACAAATTGTTTTTTGGCCATTACATGCGCGTTGGTATAAATGCGGAAGTACTGACTTGCGAAAAGAAACAAAATTAAAGAGGAAATACGTACCAAGTTGTATAAGAGGAGGCCAACCGTAGCAAGACCAAGGCCGACGAAGGTCACAGCGGAGGCAGGAGTGGCGAAGAAGACAATGGCAGTGAGAATGACGAGAAGACGCTTCACTACGCTAGCCACTGAGTAGCTCAGTGCGGTGAGACGACTCAGCATCACAACAGCCAAATAATTCTGTGAGCAACGTGCCACTCCATCCAGCAGTGACAAGTATCCACCCTTTTTTAACTGCTCCAGCTTAAAAAAATTAATTTCTGTAGTTGAAACTTGGATGCAAGTAGTTCATCCCACTAGGATTGCAGGAGAACATTCAATCTTTAAAGTGACGTTGGCCTTAACTGACGTATTTGACTAAGCACTGAGGCCTTATCCCCCAGGCTTTCGGACTTTGAACCTATAATTTGCTTGATAGTAAAGCGCATTTACATATCCAGTAAATATGGAAGTAAAAACCTGCGATCATGACGTGCAATACGCATTTAAAATGCTGTCGACTAGTGTCAATGTTAATAATGGAACATTCTCCAAATTTCCTTATATATTAAAATCGAAAATATGTCACACAGCTAGATAACTTGGTCCCTTCCAGTATTTAAAAGTGTTCTCAAGATCGCATAAAAAGGAATTTGGAATTTCAATGAACAAACATACTTACCAGTTGACCTTTGTCAGTGTAAATAATGCTTCGAAGGTCTACGAAAGACCAAATAGGTAAAATGCAAAGAACGCTCGCTCCAGAAACAACGAGTAACACGTTGCTTGCATTGAGACTCGAAGAAGTCAGAACCTATCAAAAAGGACTCAATTTATGAGTAAAGAAGGCGCTCACGTGAGCCTATCAATGATGATGTCAAGATTACCATTTTCATATATAAGCTGAAGGCAGCACTGCCCATGGCTGACAAAAGCCCAATGAGCAACCCGTGTAGTGTCAGGGATACTTCTGTTTTCGAGGTAATCATGACTCCGAAAAGAATAATAAAGAGTGAAACGTAGGTCTAAAAAATAGCAAACATTATTCTGAGGCATATCTTAGCATCGAGAGTTAGCCACAGCAAAAGTTGTAACAAGAGGCAAAAAACCAACATAGAGTAGTTGGGACCAATTACCTTAAACGAATAGCGCTTCCCAAGACAG